GGCACCTTCCGACTCTCCCGGCCTCGGCCTCCGCCCCCGGGCCAGCCCAGGGGATGCGGGACGGCGGCTTCCTGGCGCGGGGTGGGCTAACCACCGGCCTTCCTCGGGGCTCCCAGGAAGAGGCCTGTTCTGTGGGCTTCCTGCCCCCCCCACCCGCAGGGCAGCTGGCAAGACACTTCCTGGCCACCCGCCAGCACCCCGGCATGCCTGTGGGTGACTCCTGGAGCCCGGCCAGATGCTGTCACACGTCCCAGGGGGCCCTCAGCATTCTTGGCTTTTGTTTCCGATGATGTTGGGTCCACTGAGAAGGGGAGAAGCGGGGAGGGAGGGGAGGCCATGTCGGTCCGTGGCCCCTTCCAGGACACTGAGTCGTAAGGGCGGCGGTGCGGGGAACCCCACGGGGTTGCACCGGGAAGCCAGGCCTTCGACACGCACTCAGGCTCCACATGCGTCACAGGCCCGGGCGCAGGCAGCACAGGACAGCGCCAGCCCCTGGGGCACGGGGTGCCAGGAGGTAGTGGGGTTGGGACAGTGTCCACAGGCCTCCAGCCCGCTGCAGGAGGCTGCAGGAGGCTCCCTGTCGCTGGACGAATGAAGATGGGAGACGGCGTGGCTGAGGGGCCGTGGGCGGGGCCGGACCCTGCAGCGCCATCCGGGCGTCGGCCCCGCCCCGGCCACCCGGCCATCTGCAGGCCCCTCTGGGTTAAGAGCAGCAACAACTGTGCCCTATTTACGTCATGGCTTCACCGCCACAGGCCGCGGCCGCAGAGCCCGCCCGGGAGCCCCACGGAGATCGGCTTACGCTTAGAACACGTTTCCGTAGATCCTACCTGATCTGCAGCCCCGAGTTACAGGCCGCGGTGAGCAAAGGTCTGGGCTCCGAGACGGGCCTCACTGCTGGGCAGTCAGGGCAGCGGCTCGGCCCGAACTGTCCCTGGCCAGAGGGGACGCGGAAAACTCGGGCGGCCTCTGCCCCTGCTGTGACCCTGTGGCTTCCTGTGGGTCTGTGTGCCTTGGTTTCCCCACCTGGCCAGGAGATGGGCAGCCCCTGCCCGCTGTGTCCCCCACACCGGCCTCAGCTTCCTTATCCTTCACAGGGGGTTATCGTCTGACTCTCCCATCTCGTGGGGTGCCCAGGAGACCCCTCAAGGCACGTGCTGGACACACAAGGCCTTGTTTTCAGGGGGCACCTGACGGAGGTCAGTGGGGTTAAATTTAGCTTCACAAGTGGTAGCTCTTCCCAAAGGACACATCTGACCTCTTAGCTCTGGGCAGGGTCTCGAATGGAGGGTCTCAGAATTGGTTTGCAGACCGCCCCCCGTGACGGCCACCGGCACTCGGCTGTCCGCTGGAACACAGAATGCAGACCCCCCCCGTGACGGCCACCGGCACTCGGCTGTCCGCTGAGAGTCAGTCCTCTGCTTGCTGGCAGATGACAGAGAAGGGACAGAGAAGAGGCCTGGGGGCCACCGAGTGTGCTCACAGAACCTCAGCCACCAAAGACTCATATGTGACCAACCTACGGCTAACATCATACCCAATGGGGAGAAGCTAAACGCGTTTTCCTTAAGATCAGGAACGAGACAAGGGTGTCCGCTTTCGCCGTTTTCATTCAATGCAGTATCGGAAGGTCCGGCCACAGCCATCGGGCAAGAAAGAGACACAAAATGCATCCAAACTGCAACGGAAGAAGTAAAACTGTCGTTATTTGCCGACGACATGATCCTAGAGCCAGAGAACCCTAAAGATGCCACGGAAAAAACTGTTAGAACTGTTACAGAAACTCGGGGAAGTGGCAGGATACAAAATTAATAGTCAGAAGTCAGTTGCATTGTGTACACCAATGATGAACTCTCAGAAAGAGAGGTTAAGAAACCAATCGTGTTTACAGTTGCATCGAGGAAGTAAAAGACCTGTTCTTGGAAAATGATGTCATTGAAAAAAGAAATTAAAGAAGATACAAAGAAACGGAAGCATACGCTGTGCTCGTGGATAGAAAGACTTGACATTATTAAAACATCCAGATCTCCCAAAGCAATCTATAGATTCAGTGCACCCGGGAGGTGACCTCGAAGACTCAGACCTAGCCTGGGCTCCCACAAAGCCTCCAAAGCCCCAGCCCCCAGCCCCCACTAATAAATGAGAATTGACATTATTAAAACATCCAGATCTCCCAAAGCAATCTATAGATTCAGTGCAATTCCTGTCAAAATGCCGATGGCATTTTTCACAGAACTAGAACAAATACTCCTAAAACTTATACGGAACCATTAAAGACCCCGAATAGCCATGGCGATCTTGAGACCTTCAAAGGAGCTTCGTCTGCCGCCTCAGCCAACCCCCAATCCAGCTGACAGCCCCTGGGCCCGTGCTCACGCTCAGAGGAAGGGGTGGAAGTCATCAGCTCCCTGCCTCGGGATCCATGAACAAGTGTGAGCCCAGAGCAGGGGCCAAGCAAGGAGCCGGGGCTTGGTGAGACCAGGGAGCTTATGCGGGGCATGACGAGTGTCCAGGCTCGATGACCCCAGAGGGGGGCCAGTCCAGCTCTAGCCTGGAATCCCGCCTGCACCCCACCGGATCTCACTGCGCCCCACCCGCACCCCACACCTGCCTCCCATACCGCTGTCCATGGTGGCCCGACCTGCTTCCAGGGCTGAATGATACCCACGTGGCCTCACCAGGACCTGAGGACCACCAGCTCCGCAGGCACAGGCGGCAGGCCCTGCTCCCACGGCCTCCTGAAGAGCAGCACAGCAGCTCCAGGAGGCCGGCACCCCTGGGCGATGTGGCACGAGGCCCTGGGTGGGGCTGGGGGAGGAGGCAGCGCCAGGCACCCTCTTCATTTGCTGGCCGGCCTGGGGCTAGAACGCCAGCTCCCTCCCCTCCGGGCGGAGGCATCCAGGGAAGGGGGCACCCAGGCCTAGACATCCACGGCCACCGCACCTTGCTCAGGCTGGCCCTTCTTCTCTCCCAGCCATGCGCCTGTGAGGGGCGGGTCCTAGTGGCTTGCGTCACTGAGCGCACAGCGGGTGCCAGGCTGCGTGCCAAGCGCCTCGTCGCTGGGTCCTCCCCCATCCCTCCACGGGGGCTGCGCGGTCAGCCTGTTTCACCAAGAAGAAAGCTGAGGCTCAGGGACATGGACGTGGACGTGAACTTGGCAGAGGAGCCGGGCTTCGTACAGGCTTGCGGACCGAGGCCGAGCGTCGAGTCACGTGGTGCCAAAGAAGGAGGGTGACGCTGAGAATGGCAGCGATGTCGGGTGAAGACCGAGTCCAGGCAGGTCCCTGTGTCCCCACATGCTCTGACCCCACGGCCGTCTCGGGCAGCTGAAGAGAAGTTCACCGAAACCGAACATGGTGCTGTTTGGAGCCCGGCAGACCCTGGGAGCCAACTGCGTGTCCCCCGCGGGCTGCGGGGTGCGGGTGCTCACAGCCTGGGGGTGTGGAGAAGGGGGCGGGCGGCCCCCAGTGCAGGGGTCTGGACTGCGAAACTGTGGCGGAGCAGGGGAGGGTAGCGGCATCTGGAGTGGGGGCTTCAGGGACAGTTTGATCCAGGAGCTGCCGCCAAGCTGGGTTCTGAAGGCCGAATACGGGTTCCCATCAGGAAGGTGTTCCAGGCGGAGCTCGTGTGTGCAGGACGGCGAGAGCACGCTGGACGCCGGGCACGTCGAGGGACGGAGGGGTTGGTGCCGTCGACTCTCGAGGGCCTCGTGCTCCAGGAGGGGGAGCTGGGAGGGAGCCTCACGCGTGGGGCGGGAGGGACCGGACTCCGTGGTCCTGGTTCTGGCTCCCGCTTCCTCCCCGGCCCTGAGCCCCTCCCTCCATTTTCAAAAGCTCCCCTGAGAAAGCCTCCAGCTGGGAGCTGGAAGTGGCGGGGGTGGCACCGGGGGGGGGCACCCCCCCCCAGCAGCGGCCAGAGCTCCTCCAGCCAGGACACCAGGCGCTTCCTGACTCTGGACTCCGGTCTCGGGGGGAGCGGGGCGCGGAGGGGGCGGCATTCCAGCTGGCATTCCAAATCCTCCTCAACGCTCCGTCCATTTCCTGCCCTGGCTGCGAATTTCAACCATTTCCTTCGTGGGCCACCTCCGGCCTCTGCCCGCTGCCTGGCCCTGCGCTGACCTTGGCAGGGACAGGACAGTCCTTGTCCTGCCAGCTCAGAGTTTGGAACCAGCTGTGCCCTCAGCCGAGCATCCTGCCGAGGGGCCCGGGACGCTAGGAGGGCGCTGAGCCGGCGTGGTGGGGAGACCGGGCTCCCCGTCATGCTGCGCATCACCAGCCGCGTGCTAACCTCAGCGGCACACCTCCCGCGCCTGAGCGGGGCTGGTGCGGGAGACCCCGAGACAGGAGGCACCAACGGTCTGCTGAGGGGGGCTCCCACCCCTCGCCCCAAACACACAGACGATCTCTCCACGCAGGAAGGGTGGGCTCGAGGGACGGGGGCCCCCAGGCCGTAGACAGGAAGGCACTCCTGGACTGAGGAGCCCAGGCCGGAGGACCCATGCTCGTCACTCGACCACCCCGGACCAGCCTGAGCAGATCCTGGGAGAGGCCGGCAGGGGCCCCTCCAAAAGCTCAGGCGAGACGACAGTTGTTTCTCTGCAGAAGAGCCGGGTCCCGCAGACGAGGCGAGGGCTTCCCAGCCTCCCCTGTGGCTTGGTGCAGCCTCACAAGCTGGGCTCTTCCCACTGGGGGCCCCGTGCCAGGCTCCCCGGGAAGCAGGTGCAGGAAAGCTGGTGACGGTGACGGTGACAGTCCACACGTCCTTCCCAGGCCCTCTGGCCGTGGGCCTGCAACCTGCAGCACCCGAGGGTTTGTTCAAGCCCCAGGCACAGTCTGGGGGCTCCCCTTAAATAAGCAATTTTTATCAAATGTCTTTTCATCACAAAATAGCCGTAGTGAGATCTGCTGCTGGCAGCGAAGGCCCAGGCTAGGCCCCTGCAGAAGCCGGCCATAGTGCTGCCCGTGGCCCCTCAGTGGGAGGTGGCAGCTGCACGTCCTGCTCAGCTAGCCCCTAGCCCCACCCTGGGCCCAGGCCTGCCAGGAAGGACACTTCCCCAATGCCCAAATGAGGATAATCGCTGTTTGTCCCCAGAAGCCGGCCCCCAGCCGAGGCCCATGGGGTAGGGATGGAGGACCCCCACTTCCCACACATTCAGAGAGCAGGACAGGGCCCGGGAGCTTCCCGGGAGGCTGGGGGCTCCCTCCCCCAATCCCGGCCGTGGACCAGGCCCAAACGCCACCTCTGAGTCGTCACGGCTTCCAGAGTGTGCCCCAGAACCTGAGGGCAGACCCTGGGGCGTGAGGACCTTGGGAAGGCAAAGAGCGGCCAGGCCCAGGGGCAGCCCGGGAGGGCGCCTCCGGCACAAGCCGCAATCCCAGAAGAGCGAGCGAGCGAGCGGGTGGGTTTTCCTCGGGGGGCCCAGGGCCCGGCCAGCCCGCCCTTAATACAAAGCCGTGACCACCCCCAGCACATCCGAGCTTAGCGGTTTCACAGCGGGACGTTCACGCCATATTTATGCAATAAATCTTTCTGTTTGGGGTGTTTCATATGTGGCAGGAGGCTCCTCCTCACCCCCCATCCCCCAAAAGCAGAATCCTGGGAAAATCCCCTCTTACGGTTTCCCATGCGGCCAGGTGTGAGCAGCCGGGGCTGCGGACAGCCCCGCCAACAGCAGCTGAGGGGTCCCCCGCTGCTGGTGCCTGGCCAGTGGAGCCGGGGGGACGAGGACTCCATGTGGCCGCGGGGGGCTGGCGGGGGGCTCTCCGCACTCCAGGCCTGAGCCCTGAGCTGGGAGGACTGCGGGCCTCCTCCCTGGCCTCCCTGGCCCGTCATTGAGGGGAGGGCATCGGCCCCCAGGGCAGAGGCCAAATCCAAACCAGAGGCCATTGGAATCCAGCTGGCACCCACACTCAGAAAGAGATGCAGACAGTAAGGCAGAGGCTTCTGGCATGCTTGGAAACACCCCACTTCAGAGCTAAATATTCAAGTAAGGTTCTAGGACCCCAACATCAGAGCTAATCGTGCTAAGTTAATGGACACCCCTCCTGACCCCCACAGCCCACTTTCACCCCCATCTGCCTGGGAAGTGAACCAAAGGCCTGTGGTACTGGGTTGGGGGTGCTGGCGGCCTGGGCACAAGGCACGACCAGGCACAGATGTGGCCAGGCCAAACCCGCGGCCCGCAGCCCAGCTGAGCCCCAGGGCCAGGCTCCCAGCCTCCTCCACGGTTCGGGGCCTCTGGCAGCGGCTTGTCCCAAGAGGCCGCCCAGGCCCTGCAGGTAGGGACAGGCCATCCGTCCATCCCCATCCTCCTGGTGGCCCTCCTCCCCTCTGCTGGCTGCTGTGACCTGCAGTTGGTTTAACTCGAGGTGGGAAATGGCGCAAGTATGTGTGGAATATGTACGGAGCAGACCGGTCACATAGGGCTCGCTCGGCCCTCACGCCCACTCTGGAGTAGGAGACGCTGTTCTCCGTGACAGATGAAGACACAGGAGCCAAGGTCCCCTGGCCAGGAAGGGAAACGCAGGGCTGGGAACCAAGCTCCCCCGGCCACTCTCCCCACGAGCCCTCCAGGCCCAGCTCTGGCTCTCACAGAGCTGGTGTGGCCACTGGCCTCAGGCCAGGGACGGGGCAGGGCTCAGCAGGTCCATCATACCATCCAGCTGGGGACAGGCAGCTGCGGGCTCTGCCAATGGCCAAGGAGGCCACCCCAAGAAACCAGACCGGCGGGCCAGGTCTTCCTAGAGCTCTGAACCTCCGAGTCCCACAGGCCCATGGTCCCCAACCGTCACCTGCACAGCGAGAGTCAGCCGCTGAGGCTGGCGTGGTCTTCAGGTGGCCGCCTCCCCAGGACCGCCGACCCGAGGGCTGGTAGCAAACACCACTCGCCGCCAGTGCAACAAGTCATCCGAGGCCGGGAAGCCACAGGAGGAAACAGCTGAGCGCTGCTGGCTGCGAACCCGCGTCCTGAGCCGTCTCCCAGCTGGCCCGCTCGGCTCCCGCGGAATTCCGGGTCCTC